GTAGTAGTAGTCGTCGTCGTCGTCGCTGTCGTCGTCAGTAGTCGTCGTAGTGGGAGGAGGAGAAGGAGGAGAGGAGGAGGAAGAACGACAGTAGTTGTAGCAGCAGCAGTAGAAATTACAGGAGGAAACACAGCAAGGGTATAGCCCAGATTCCTAGATTATGTTAGCAGTGGCTTTTGCTTTTGCTGTATCTGTTGCCGATGCTGCAGCCTTAACATGGTTTCATATGTTTTATTTTTTATCACTAGCATCGTCAACATTCTTGTCAGCAGAAGAAGCAGGTGGCGGAAGCAGTAGCAGCAGCGTCTGCAACGCCAGCGCTAGTTGCACGAACCTTCCCCCAATGTTAGCTGGCTATGGGACGGGGGCCGGATACATGGCACGGCCCCTTCACAGCAAAAAGAAACCAAGGCATTGCGCTCCCAAAGCGAATCCCGCGCAACAGCTGATCTCAGCTAGGTATGGAAATCCCCCACACAAATATCCCAAACCCTGAACCCTTGAAACCCGAAACCCTGTCCCTCGCATACGGAAATCCCCCACATAAATATCGCAAACCCCTGTTGAGCGCGAAGGCAAAAAACAACCCGGACTCTTGACCCTGAAGATCCCAACCCAGAATCCATAATGTAGGGGCCTTAATAATGCTTAGAATAGGCTTTTGGACGTTTTTTTATTGTACTTATAGTATAATATACCCCATAACCTATTGCAATCATTAAGTCCCCTATATTGCATGCATGTAAACCTACCCCCCAATCCCAAGTCTACCCGAACAACTCCGCATGTGAAAGACTGCGGACGACAAGGCCCAACCATCGTGCTGACAAACCAGGTGTTACATCGTTTCGGCTTATGAGAATGCATATGGGTGGGTCTCTAAATTCGAATCCTTTTTGCGGTCCTTTTTAAAAGGGTGCCATATTATGGGGACCTACAAAAGGGACCCTAATTTAGAGAACTACCCATTATCATGACCTCAATTTCAAGTGACGTGGCCGGCTCGGCATAGCCGATTCCATGAGACTGCAGTCTAAGGTTAAACCCATGGGCCCCTAGTATGGGCCCTTAACAGTGGGACCCTTATATACCTACTAGATACCCTATATGTACCCTTAAGGGACCCTAGAAAGGCCTAAGGGTCCATATGAGGGGCCCATACTTCTAACCTTAGATACAGTAGGAACACGAGTCCTTTGAGCCTAGGTCCCCCAGCAGCCCCTTAAAATACTAAGGGTACCCTTTTCTACGGTTTAGGGTTTAGGGTTTAGGGTATGGTTTTGATAGGGGAACCCCCCCAAAAAAAAAGGCAAGAGGGTACTGCTGAGGAACCTAGGAGCTGTTGCATGCCCGATCTGATTTGTCTGTAATGCAAGGTTACTGGCGCACATGCTTGTGTGACATCCCAGCTTGAAGCCACGTTTCGGCTGCACATGCCAGTGCAGATGATGTTTCCTTTTCCCGGTTTTAGAACCACGACCATCTGAGTAGGTGCATGCGTGCGGCCATGTGTGTTGGCTTCTCGAGACGGCCCTGAGACAATGCAAACAGTTTGGACACACCCTGATGCATATCCCATCCTGTCGACTGGCTTCAAAAAGCTCAAGCGTGTACCGTGCGAAAAGGGGGCTCTAACTCAAACCACAGCATACCCCTTCCCTTCGCGAAAAACACACCTTGAAGCCCACGAAGTGACGAAAGAACAGCCCGGCCTGGGTTGACCAAACCTTGTTCTGGCTTCTGAACCTATCAATTTCTCAGCATCTAGTCTTTGAGCATGATGCCTCTCAAACGCTGGGCTTCCCAATGCCAGGACAGCACGGCGAGGGGCGACTCTCAAGCGAGTCTAAGGCGCAGGTAGTGATGAAGTGGCTGCATGAGCCAGGATTGCCAGGAATGACTACTTGCAAGGTGGAGCTGGGACACAGCGCAGCACGACGCTGCGACCAGTGTGTGAGCCAATTGTGCAAAATCTCGCCCATGGGCCCCTAGTATGGGCCCTTACCCCTGGGACCCTTTTACACCTCATATATACCCTATATGTACCCTTAAGGGACCCTAGAAGGGCCCAGTCCCCCCAAATCCCTACAACCCCACCGGAGCTTTTAGAGATTGGTCTCGGAGTGGCCCTCCAAGGTGGGGGAAGCCTTTATACGGACCAGGTGAAGCCCAGAGACTCCAAAACCCCTTAATTAAGGAATATACCTTAAATCATATTAGGGATCCTATGATCCGATTATGATTTAAGGTATATTCCTTAATTAAGGGGTTTTGGAGTCTCTGGGAGCCTGTGAGGGAGGTCTCCCGCAGCTTCTTCGGTCTTGCCTCTTCGGCACAGTAGGTGACCGTGCTTGTGGGAGGTGCATTTGTGGAGTTACAGGCGGCAAGTAAAGCTTCATCCTTTTAGGGGTTCCGTCGCGCTACGAAGGCCTCTTAGGTCATGGACCATGGCGAAGGAATCGTGGAGTATTATACATGGAATCCCAAAGCAGCGCAGTCAGTTTGGCTTGGAAGGCTCGGGTGGGCATGACTGTTCGCAGGGCCGGAAGACCTCATGCGGGTTGCATCCCAGAGCGAAGGCATGAACGGCTTTGGCAGAAAGGGCTTCGCCTTGCCGCGTCTTCGGCGCTTCCTGCTGAACCGCAACATGTTCCTCTGCGTCAGTGGCGAGGTGTCTCTCTGAATACTCTTGAGGTGGGAAAGTTGGAGTTTCTGAGAGCAAGGGGACGCTGATATAGACCTCAAAGAACGGGAGCCGTATCATGAGGACCCACAAACAGTGAAAGCCCGAGTTTTAACAACTCCCGAATTGCATCTAAGGGGGGAAGTCTCCTACTCTTATGGATCGCACCACATGGCACATGCGTGCGACGCAGCTCTACCTAATCCTTCCACACGACGGCCCCAAGAGTTCGGAAACCTCGTGTTTGGGCTTTGGCGTTTAGGGTTTCGTGAGCCTCATCGCACGCCCACAGTGAATTGCCCAAACACCCACCAAATCCTTGTCGTGGTGACGTCGCTACATCTACATGAATGGCACTTGGCCACGGCAGGGAACTTGATTCCAAAATCAATGAGTTCTCAACATGCCGGAGAAATCAGTCATAGACATCTTGCGCATGACTTGCTCTAGAGTGATGTTGAGAACCTAAACCCTAAACGCCTAAACCCTAAACCCTAAACCGATCCAAATGCGAGAGTCAACTTTATGCTGCGCGGTGCAGCTGAATCTGCCGTGAGGGCATGGCTCGCTGCATGCGTTCCGATCTGGGAGTTTCTGAAAATCAAGGGTACCTTATTTGGGGGTCCTTATAAAAAGGGCCCCCTATTTCCGGAAACCCCGATCTCAGTCCCAATGACAATCAGGTCAATGCACTTTAACTGATAGTTGATTGAAGTTTTTCATACGTGCAATACCCAGTTCCAGGACAAAGACAGGTCACTTCGCTGCTCACAGAAAGAATCCCTTTTTATGCAGCTCAAGTTGGCAAACAGCTGTGCCTCTTTGGAGTTTAGGGTTTTCCAACTTTCCACCTCCTGAAACTCTGACAGATCCAGTTGCCTTGGCTACACCTATCTGGGGGTTTCCGGAAATAGGGGACGCTAAGATAGCACCCTAAATAATAGGATCCTTATTATAAGGACCCCAAAATAAGGTATCCCTTTTTTTCGGAAACTCCCATCTACCCTGCTTCAACAGCCGAAAATACCAGTGTGTTCTGTGTCCGGGCCTCGTAGCCTGCCTCCATTTCGCAGGCCTTGGTTTTCAGGTCTTGCGGATTCCGGTTGTAGGTTCGATGGTGCCCTGGGATAGTGAACAGATCCGGGCTCGGGTTTCGGGAGCAGACTGGCAGATTGGTGGTACTGTTGGTGATGCTGGCGGCGCCGCCGGCCGCGACGACTGCTGCGGCGGCGGCCGTCGTCGTGGTCGGCGTGGTCGTCGTGGTCGTCGTCCAAGTGGGGTGGCAGCGCCAGCGGCGGCGGTAGTGGTACTTAGTGGTAGTGGTAGTCGTGGCAGTTGTCGTCGTCATCGTCGTCGTAGTAGTAGTAGTAGTAGTAGTAGTTGTTGTTGTTGTTGTTGTAGGAGTAGGAGTAGGAGTGGGAGTAGTACTGTAGTAGTCGTCGTCGTCTCGTCGTAGTCGTCATGGACGTCGTCGGCATCAGTAGCAACAGTGTTAGAGCGAGAACGCGCACATGCATACGCACGAGTGCAGGAGTCGCACCAGATAGCGATGTCGCGCGGTCTTCAAACACGTAGCAGTTCGTTGAACATCCGACATGTAAATTGCAGCAATCGCAGCAGTATCCCGTGCAAGTATCAGCACGGTGTCTGATAGGTATTTATGATGATGGCGACGGTGATGGTGGTGGTGGTGGTGGTGGTGATGATGGTGATGCTATTATGATGATGGGGAAGATAAATGGCGATGGCATGAAAGACAACAACGAGGAGCAAGCGCCAAGAATAAAGATCATGGAGCAATCACTAATCGTGAGCATCATGTCCATCATGGTGTAGCGGTGGTTATCGCCGAACCGAAGTCTGATGCGTAGCAACAGGACAAGAAGCTGCAGCCCATGGCGATGTAGTGCTGATCGTAGCAGCCGTCTTCAGCAGGACAACAATTGCCACAGCTGACATAAACAAATTGTGCAGTGGCAATGACAGCAGTCGCAGTGGCGACATCTGAACACTGACTCTCAGCAAATGGCAGCGGAGCCGATGAAGTGGGTAAAGGAGAGGTGGAGCAGGAGGAGGCGGAGGAGGGTCAACAGCAAGAGCAAGGCAGCATTGCCACGAACAGTGAGGCTCGCTTATTTGCAAAGGCAATAGGCAAACCTAGTTCTTTAGTGTTAGTATCTTAATTTCAGTGCACCGCCTCGCACGGGAAACCCACGGGTTGCCCTTGCCTGGATGAGGTCTAAACTCTCTGTCACAACTGTTACGGTGGCGAGTGATGCATGGTTCGTGATCGTATTCAAGTGGCTAGGCTACAGCATGCTTGTTCTTTCAGGGATTTCAAGAGCTATGCTATGTTCTGCTGAATAGTCGCAACATGCCTTGACCGAAGCGGCACAATTCTAGAGTCTTACGGCGAATCTGCAGGGAAGCAAAACAGTGTTGGAATCAAGGCTGCGGATAGTCGACCGCAGCGCCGAGGTCTGTATCTGTCAGAAACAAGCGTGACAAATAGTGAAGAAGGAATAGTTCAGCGCGATATCTGGAAGCAGCCCCGAGAAAACGATGCATTTTCTGTTGAGAAACGTCTTCACACTGCACGAAAGCACTATCAATAGCTTTCCCGATGCTGATGCGGGGCGTAGCATGGTGTGGCATATGGTAGTGTTCACTCTTGCAGCTGCTAAACTTGATGAATGATGGCGTAAGGTTCGGAAGTGCTGCAAATACCATGCAAGCCCCCAAAAGATTGCACAGAAGCATGCTGCTCACATGCACATGTGTTGGCCCTGCTGACCGTCATCCGCGCAAGACCTGTCAAACGGGCGCAGTTTCCGCGCTTGCTGGCATCTGTAGCACTCTGGCAGTTTTGTAAGCAGCACACGACTTCGATCAAAACAATTGTGTCTCCGTGTCTGATGAACCAAAACCATACCAAAGCCCACGGAAGCTTCAACAACACGGTCGCCCAAGACCAGGAACTGCCGCTGGTGTAGGGTGCTTTTTAACCCATGCACCAGACCAGTCCAAGTTTTCTTTGTGAGTGGTTCTAGGCTTTCTCGCTTCTCGGCAACGCGCCCAACGATGTTCGTGATGCTGCCTATCTTCCCAACTAAAGTTTGAACGTATGCCGAAATGCAGCTGCGACCGTGCGTACGTAGCTGCCTTCAGTCAAGACCGTACATGCATACATACACCATCATACACCCATAAATGGCGATGTTGTGTAAATGGCGATGTTGTCTATTTCCATGCCCAACTGCAGGTGATTCGATCACCGGAGGTCTTCCCTGCAGTTTGCTTCATCCTGGCATGGCAGGCGAGAGAGATGACGTGTTGCAGGCGTCATGAAGTCATGAATGCACCTCTCTCTGCCGGGAAGCCACCGGAACTCTGAGACTTTTGTTGTCCCATCTCCGTCCACCGTGCAGTTCGTTTCATATTCGCACAGGCCACTCCGACAGCGGGCTCAGCGTGCCATGGCCGCAGATATGAAAGCCTACCACAGATAGCAGGCTCTCCTTCACGCCACCACACCCTCAATGTCAAGGATCCGTAGAGACTCTTGAGCAAAGGACGTTCTACTTTTACACCAACGAGCTCCACTTCAACCCAGAATTCCTGGGGCGCTCTCAGCTCGTGGGTTCACTGGCAAGCCGGGCGGCCTGGAGATGGGAGATGGGCACCTGCAGGATCAGCGTCGGTTTAGATCCGTTTCGGGTTTAGCGTTTACAGCTTATTCGTAATGGCATGTGCGCTAGTCCTAAATCTCAGGCAAGCTTAGCCTTGCAATTGCAAGCATGATGCCGTTGCTTTATGGAAGATCCTTTGGTATCTAGAGTGGAGTTCTATTTCTGAGACCCCCGGCATGCCAGAGTCACCTGCTCACGTCTGAAGTTCATGAGGATGCTTGGGCCGTAAGGGTGCACCTGACGCTGCGTGACATGTTTGCAGTCACTTCATGCTTTCTAGGTTATGATAGGCTTTGCACAGTTTTGAACATTCTTGTCAGTGCCGCCGCCCTGACAAGCCCTACACTCACTCGAACAAGCGTCTGCAAATCAGGTTTGGCTGGCATCGTTCTGTACAACCGCCCGCAGCTGAATTCCTGAAACCAGAGCTTGCACACTGCCTGTTGGCTTTCAGATTGGCGTTGGGTCGGTCAGAGGGTACATGATGGACCTGCCCGATCAAACAAGCGAACGCGGCCACGCACAGCTTGATTGAGGTGTTTTCTCTTCCGTGCCGATCAAGGACTACTTGTCGCGTTCCCTCCTCAATGGTATGGGTGGCAGCGCAGCCTGTTTCGCCTCCTATGACAGCTTAGCAGTATAGTGTCTGCAAACACGGTTTTGGGACACTGGGAAAGTCACATTGTCATCTTCATGCTGCTGATTTCACTCTAACCCCCAAGAAATCCGCATGCGAAATCATAAGATATGTTCAGATCGAGCCCCAGACAACGCAGCAATAAACACGAAGAAGGATAGTATTTCTAGCAGCGACGATAGTCATAAAGTTGTCATCATCGTCATCATTATCGCCACCATCACCACAATGATCATGGTGTTCAAGCTTTGTCGCCGCAGGTCATAGTCGTCAGCATCATGGTGACAACAGCCATCATCATCGGAAGCAGCAGGACAACACCAATACACGAAAGACATCGACAGCAGCAGCACCAGCAGCAGCAGCACCACCACCACCACCACCACCAAAACCAACAACAGCAACAGCCACATCAACAGCAGCAGCAGCAAAACGACTGCAAAAGCAACTGTAGTTCCACCACCGCCACCACCACCAGCATCACCAAAACAGCAACAACAAAACAGCAGCAGCAGCAGCAGCAGCAGCAGGCGTACCAGCACCAGTAGAAGCAGAAGCCGAGGCCGCAGCAGCAATAACAACAAGACAAAAGTTGCAACAATCAACAACTACGACCACCCTATGGAGTGAGGACAGCGGCTTCAGCAAGTAGAGCATGACACACCCTAACAGCAACTCCTCGGAAGTGAAATTTCCACCGCCGAGGGATACAGGTGACAGCTGTCACGCTCGGATTTCTGCCAATCCTCTTGGCTACCCGCAGGGCCCCAAGAGAAGAGGTCAAAAGGAATAATCATACCAAGTAAAATAATAGCAATAGTAATAAGTATTCGGAAACCAGATCTTGTTTCCAAGGCGCCAATCTAGCCCTGAACATCCCGGACCAGATGTTTGTGCTCGGCGACTGGCCTGCAATACACGGAGAGCCATACCACTACTCTGACTTCTCTGTGATGCCCCAGCAGTCCCGCATGCATACATCGAAAGGCGACGATGTCATCCAAACGGTAGCAGGTGTCGGGTCCTCAGGTGTAATCTGCCTGCTGTGAACGGACTCTCTGCCGACTTATGCCGCAGCGCAGGGCAAAAGCGGCAATGGTTCGAGGGGGGAAGCGTCCAAAAAGCAACAGCACGTTAAACGGTCAAGCTACAACCATACCGTGAACTTCGTGAACGCTGCTCCCAATGAGGAGCTCGCTCACATGCCCATCCTGGTGCTTGCCGCGCAGCTGTGCCCGCGTGGAATCGAGGCCGGAGCTGGGCGTCGCAATCTAATCAGCTGTCCGGCCAAAGGAGGATGCCGGATGCAGCGACTGCCCTGAACATAGCTTTTATGTGCTGTAGGAATTCTGACATCCCGCAAGGGCCAGGAAATCGGAGTCAGCCGGGAGCGGGGGAGTGGGCCGGGGCAGCACCCGCCAAAAGTGTCAGACCCAGTCGCCAGGCGACACTCTTTGCGCCAGCAGCTTAGATGTGTTCGGTGATTTTGTCACGTGTGCCATCGACGACATTCAGCAGCGTTTGGCGAGAAGCGCGCCTGCAAGCACGCAATGTTAAGACCCGAGTTCAGACCCCCTGAGTCTACTGCTTTGCAAAGGCTGCTGATGTCGGCTCTCAACGCTGCCAGCTTTCTGAGTTCCAGCCTCGGGGCTTGGCTCACCCACATTCTCGAGGTCACGGACTCTGCCTGGAGCCCAGATGCAAGAACAGCACGTTATGTTACAGGCGGTCAGGTCATCAATACGACGATGACCACGACGACGACGACGACGACGACGACGATCACTACTTGGATTGTTGAGTCCTTCTGGCCTCATCAGCATAATTACCACCCGGCTGTAGCAAGATAAGATCATCATTGGGACTTCGACCGCGAACACGAACCCGACAATGGCAAGTTCTGTCAGTCAGGTCGAAGACAATGCAAAAGGCTGAGGCTGCTGCTGCTGCTGCTGCTGCTGCTGCTGCTGCTGCTGCTGCTGCTCCTGCTGCTGCTGCTCCTGCTTGCTGCTTCTGCTCGCAGTGCCGCTGCTGCTTAAATGTCTTTGCCAACGCTGTCAAGTGTCCCTTGGATGCAGCTAGCATGATCAGGATTTCACCAACTACGCCTTCCTGCTCCTCATTTGCAATCTCAGCGGGCTCCTGCCACTGGTGCCTTGTTTGCAACGATACGTGGCGGCTTGGATACCGAATGATAGCTTTGATGGTAGCGCTACCAAATTGTCATCGTCCGAGTGCACACCATTATTTCTTGGCCACATTCAGCGCCTCCTTCAATCAATGTGCAGCACCTGGTTGTTGCAGTTCAAAAAGATGCTCGTCGCCAACCGTGCAGATTCGAATTCTCCCAGGCACTATTACCTGGAATTCAGAACCGGCGTAGTCCGGCACTTGGTTCCGAAGTTGCAGCTCAACATGCCCAGCGCTTGCATATGGTGTTCCGCTTGTGCGCATCGTTGTGCAGCATGCAAGGCACAAATAACAAATGATGCGAGAGCGCGGCATGTTTGCATTTCCGGCAAGCAAACGGCCTGGGCCCTACTTGTCCCTGTCTGTACACTGTACTCACTTAAGTTAGAGATTCTGGAGACCTCTCCAAGCAAGCCTCAGCAGCTTGAACCAGATGCACTTTATTAGTCAGGAGAGCATGGGTTGGCTTCTGCCTTCCTACTCACTCTAGTCCTCACGTTTCTTCCCGCGGAGCACCGCAGGAGATTGTCCAGTTGATGCAGCGAAGCGGAGCAGGGGTTAGGTCTGTCTGTTTCGGTTGATGCTGCATGGCAATTTTCCGGGCTGCGGCCCAGGCTTGTCCGATGGAGCTTGCAATGCGAACCCTAATAAAGTGAGACAGTCTTTGGTTCTTGTGTACTCATCGGAGAAGTAGCTGGGAAGACCAGGACAGCCTTTCTAAAAATGCGCTGTTGAGGATTGTCCAGTCAAGCACAGGCAAGAGACTACTCCAGAATTGCTTGCTCCGACTTATTCCGGTATTGCTTGGCATGAAAAGGCGGAATAGCTTCATGCGAGGCATTTTCAGGACCGCTGCGGCCCTCCCGTGTTTGCATCGACAAGGAGTGCTGAGAAGCCGAAAGTGATCGCAACAAGAAGTCAAATCGGCAGACTTACCGGCACTCTTTCAATGGGCTGGGGTTTTTTTCCGCCCCGGAGGGTTTTTTCTGCACCCTGGCCCCC